TGATGGGAAATTTTGTGGCTGGAGAAGTCTGTACAGTACCTCGAAAAGTTCACAAGTGGAGCTGCGCGTAAGTCGAGGGTCCACTGTATCTGAACAAGATACCTCCTCAGCAGGATCTCTGTGTCCATGTAAAAATAAGAAGGACTCTTAACATTCTGCTGTAGATCCATGCATATCTTGCAATTCGTACTTTGCCTTCCAGCCCTGCTTTCCTTTCCCACCTCTCTTTTGCATGCAATAGGCAAACCCCCATGAAAAGTGTATTTCTTTGCTTTCTTAAATCACAGGGCATTTGTTAAGCTGCAGGCATGGGCAACCCCCAGACACACTTGCAGGACCAATGCCCATCTGGACATGCCCATTGTTGCAACAATACAAAAAGATATCTTGAGGAAGCAGAGAGGGGAAGTGTACTGTACACGGCCTAAGCAAACCCATAACAAAAGAGCCCAGTGTGGCATATGCTCCTTTAATTTTTAGAGGGGTGGGGGTGGAAGTATTGCAAGGTAATTAATTTGTCAGTTTAATAGCCCTGCTAAATTAAAACATGAAAAGACTTCCCATGTGGGCAGCAAGTTTCTTCTTACTGATCAATATTGATTTCTAGTTAGCCCTGTTTTAGATGACAGCACGGAAATCATGAGCAGTAGGAGATCAGACATGTAAGTGAACAATAGGAGGTCACCATGTAAGTGTGTCAGGTCCATGGCTGGTGAGAGTTTTGGGGCAGCGTGGGGAGCCACCTCAGTGCTTGGCCATCAATGCAGCTACTAACATTCTCTTCACATCTCTGCCTTTACACTGGACTGGCACCTTAGTGGGACATAGCTGTCAATTGGCACCTAAGGTCCTTTTTTTAAATTTGCTTCCTATCACACAAATCCCTGGGGATTAGATGACATCCCATCTGATGCAGAAGCCGAGTGCCGCCTCCAAGAAGCAACCGAAGAGCTGCAGCTAAGAGTCTCTGAAGACAAGGAAGAGGAGGCACAGACAGCTCCTCCTAGCATTGAAAGACCAGAAGGTACTAAAAAATATCACCCACACTTGGTGGACAGAGGTTGAAAACCTGTTTCTTAGCATCTTAACTAGCAGCTAGAATTTGCTCATAGAATTAGTAGGGATTAAGTCAGCTTCTCTGCAAGTTCCACTGATTCAGTGCACCTACTCTTGTTCTGAATTACTATGCTTCTGGGCAACATGATTTCAGCCAGAAAGTCTCAATGCAGTTTGGAGCAGTCTGCATGGTAGGTTGGTGTCTAGTTATAATGTTCCTATCATCATTATAGTAGGACCATAGTGTCTGTGGGAGATTGGTCCCAAGCCTCTTTCCCCCCCACCCTCGCATCCTTGCTGAAAAACAGGAAAATATCAAACACTGTGCATTGTATTGTCTCTGGCTCCCTCCAGGGAGTGTGTAAATACACACTGGAAATATATTTCTCAAGGCTTTTATTTAGTATGAATCAGCAGATAATGATCCTGCAGATATTGGGGGGTGTCTTACTGTATTTGCATAAATATGTGGACTTTTTATCATCGAACATTTGCTTGTCAGGAATTGCAGATGGTTACCTTGAAGGATGTGGAAGATGTCAGAGTTTCTTGCCTGGCAGAATAAAATTCTAGACTGCCTTTGTAATTTTAGCCTCATTTGCCCCAGGATAATCTAAGATGTATCTTCCTGAGAGTACTTCCCACTGAACTCATCTAATGGATAGCATCCATTAAATTAACATAATACTACAACTGGGAAGAATGGCAACACTAAGTATTAAATTGACAGTCCAGACAAGAACAAGGAGCAGGTGCATTGTGTAGCTTTAAGATGGCAGTAACCTTGTTTGTTGGTTCTCCTTCAGATCCCTGTGAGCCTTGTATTACAGTGGAGTCACCCTATGAGAAGGCTGTCACTCTTTCTCCCACTGAAGACCACAAGGAAGAAGAAAAAGAAGTAAATATGTTCTTATTTTTCTTAACTTTTCATTTTTCTGCTTTTGTTCACTAACTCTCAATGGAAAGATGCATGATTCTTTGAACATTTTTGATAGACAGCAGCTTATCTTGGCGAAACAGGACTTCCAGACAATTAGTTTGGAACCTTGTTTTGTAAAAACAGTTCTGTAAACTCTGTTGTTCTTGAAATCATGGGAGTAGGATAGGCAACCCTTGCAGTCTTTCAGGCCTGCTTTTGCAGCAGTGGCTGAATTTCAACCACACCATGGATTTTGGCAGTGACCATTGTAAAGAACAAGAACCTCTCTTTAAAACAGTCTGCGTGGAGAGTACCCAGCTTATTTTTCAAGTCAAAACATCCTGAGATGCTCTCGTATACTTTTGGGATCAAAACATACAATTTATGTATTTAAAATTAAATTCCAAGTTATCTGTCTCTTCATAAATCTAGTGCTGAAATTAGCCTGGGCCAGACATGTCAAGTCAGCGAAAGCACCAGCGGAGATGATAGATGCATCATACTTGGCTCATCCTAAAGCAAAGGACTGATTCGCTTAATACTTGCTAGGCATAACATTCTAGGAATCTCCCTCATAATAGAACCATGTCATGCAGCTTCTAGAAAAGAGTCCTTATTACTTGTGAATGTACTGCAAAGACAGTACATTTTCCAGTAGACCCATTCCTGTAGATGGGTCTACAGGAAACTGTAAGAGAAAACAAGCTATTTTCCCTCTTCTCTCAGAATGTAGTCAATTATATTATTATTTGACCAAAAAAAACCAGGAAAGATGGATTCTGTTCTATAAGCCAGTTCTCTTTTTCCTGTCTGTACTTTGACATCATGAGTGTGAGAGAAGACAGATGTTTTGCTTTTTTAAAATACTAAGGGTCAGGCACGGGGCCTCCACATAGAGCTGGTAAAATTATGAAGTAGAATAAAAGTCCTTTGTATCTGGATAGCATTGTAAAAACTCAAAGAGAAAAACATGGCTGCTCCTCAAAAAGGCAGGAAAAGGGACATTACGATGTTTTCATGTAGTGTATTATGAAGTAGAATAAAAGTCCTTTGTATTTGGATAGCATTGTAAAGACTCAAAAAGGCAGGGAAAGGGAAATTACGATGTTTTCATGTAGTATAGTGGTTCTCAACCTTGGGTAACCCTTGGACTGCAGTTTGTGAAAGCCTTCATCACCAGCTAGGTAACCCAAGTGTTCTTGGACTGCAGTTCGTGAAAGCCTTTACCACCAGCTATGCTGGCGAGGATTTCTGGGAGTTGCAGTCCACGGGTTACCTGGCGAGGATTTCTGGGAGTTGCAGTCCACGGGTTAGCCAAGGTTGGGAACCACGGACATAGTGGAACAGTTTTTGTCCCAAAATAAAAATTATCTGCATAGCTGTTCAGAATTACTTGCCAAAAATGTCTGTAGAAGTTTGAAGTATTTTCAGTACTAATCATGTTGTACACACAATTAAAACTATTTTAAACTCTATTTTTCTTCTCATTTCTGGATTTTGACTGCCTCGGTGGCGTTCTTTTAGAACAGTAGTTTTCAAACTGTATGGCCAGAGGCTGTGATTTTCTGTGGAAGCACAATAAGGATTACTTGATGAGATGACTGTAGTGGCCAGCAGGTTTTCCCGAAAGACCATTTTATCAGTAATACAAAACTTCCTTTGCCAGTGAATAAGTTACAGGTGCTGTCCAGTGTGCTTTAGACAACATTCTGAGTTCAGGTGGGACAACTGGCCAGTGCCCCAACGAAATGTAATATGCACAGTGGAAAGCGCTGGGGAACATGTGGCCCTGGTCTAATAAGTTGAAATAGAAATAGTTCCTTCAAAGGAGAAAGTTTGAAACTCATTGCTCTAAGACTTACTGAATGGTGTTTCATTCCATTGCTGATGCTCTGTAGTTATTTTTATTTCTGCAGGACTCCAAAGAATCTCCTGCAACCATGCCCTGCCAGGAGATCTCCTCAGATACCCGCTTTTTCCCCGAGCCATTCCTTCCAGAAGAAGAGAAACAGGACAAGATTCTTGATGATCCAAAAATCAAGAGCCCACCTGCACCACTCTCTCCAGTTAGGTCTCAGCCGGTAGCCCTGCCTGAGGCCATCATGCCAACATCACCTATGAAATTGCAACCAGCAACACCCACGACACCTACATCTCCACCTGCTCTCCCTCGTCCTATTTGTTCACAGCCTTTGCCCTCGGCTGAAGCATCCATTCCCTCTCCAGGGGAGCCAGCGGTTTGTTTCCAACCGGTCCCTGCCTTAACCTCCACTCCTTTAGCCAAACTTGCCCTAAAAAGTCAAGAGGCAGAGGTGGAAAAATTGGGAAGCCCTACCACAGCAGAGGAAGCTTTGAAAAGGAATAATCTGGTGGAGGAGTTTTGGATGAAGAGTGCTGAAATCCGAAGGAGTTTGGGTCTCAGCCCTGTCAACAGGAGCAGAGGATCAGATCCAAGCTTCACCATCTCACCTCTTGAGTCTGCTCCTCTGAAATCCTACAGCCCTGAGGGGATTCCAGAAGAGAAGGGCATCCACCTTGTAAAGCCCCAGCCAGGCCCGAGGAAGCCAGTCACCCCAAAGCTAGACAACGAGCAGTTTTCCTTACTGACACCAAAGTCCCCATCGGAGAGGGAGTTGAAAAACTCAGGCGATGTTAAGAGGGACTTATCAAGCAGTTCTGGACTGGGTCTTCAGGGCAGTTCATCCAATATGAGGACATTGGCCAGCCAGAGTTTTAACACTTCTGATTCCACCATGCTCACTCCCCCATCCAGCCCTCCTCCTCCACCGCCTCAGAATGAAGAGCCAGCAACACTGCGAAGAAAAAGACATCAGGCAACTTGGCAGAATGAATTAGAATCCAGGCCAGCTTCTATGCAAACGCCTCATCCTGTGCCAGCAAATCCACAAATGCGCCCACACAAAGAGGCCTCTTCACAGCCTCCTAGAGAGGAGGTGAGGAAGTCTTTTGTGGAGAGCGTGGCTGAGATACCATTTGCGGATGACGTGGAGGACACTTACGACGAGAGGACAGAGGACACGAGCTTTCATGAAAAATACTACACGCCCCCAAGCAAGCCAAGGCCGGAGAAACCTTTCCACCTGCATTTGGTCAAAGAAAATGGTGGGCCTCCATCCATGGAGGGCGCAAACCCGCAAAAGAGAATCCTCCCTCAGGTCTCTGCAGAAGCTAAAGAATTAGCTGAGGAGAGGATGAGGGCCAGAGAAAAGTCTGTCAAGAGCCAGGCCTTGCGCGATGCGATGGCAAAGCAGCTCTGCAAGATGAAAGACTTGGAGGTGACGAGTGCAGCTGGAGCAGGTAAACTGCGTAAAGCGTCTACTGTCCCCTCGAAGGCCAAAGACCCCTTCTTCGAATCCCCAAGGCATTTGGCTATGAAAGCTGGCGAAGGCCCTACGCTGAAACACGAGGATGGTGGCGACAGGTTCTTCTCACCCTTTGCAGACATCGGTGGCCATGATGGGTCAGTCACGTCCTCGGAAGGTTCTGGAGGGAAGAGCAAAAAAAGAACTTCTCTCTTTTCCCCTCGTAAGAACAAAAAGGAGAAGAAGTCAAAGAATGACAGCAAGTTATCTGACAAATCAAGCAGTGCGGCCGAGGAAGCCACCAAGCCCAAATCATTGTGGAAGTCTGTATTTTCAGGTTATAAGAAAGATAAGAAGAAGAAAAATACAGAAGACAAATCCTGCCCTAGTACGCCCTCCAGCGGAGCCACAGTGGATTCTGGGAAACATAAGGCATCCCCGCTCATTAGAGCAGCAGGTATACTCTCCTCCGCTGTGTTCTGTGGTCATTCCACAACATGTGGGGAAATGCTACCCAGTGGCTTTTATTAACAGGATATGTTCACATGGTAGAATCTGCCTGTTCATTTCCTGACCTGGGGGGGAGGGAGACTAATATGCCACCTAGTGGGCAAATTGCTTTGCAGCAGATCCCTGACATTTGGGAGGTAACTAACAGGGCAGCAATGGAGTGAGCATATGACTGACTTCCTGAGATTCATCCTCCAGCTTCCAGATAATGCCCACCATTCTTCTTGCTTTGCTGTCTTATGTTTCCTTATTATTTCAGATTTGCAGCTGCGTCGACACTTAAGCTTCTCTGAAGACTCTGATCTTTCGAACGATGACGTCTTGGAACGTTCATCTCAGAGATCCAAACGAGAGGTAAAATTAAATTGGGTGGCAAATGTTGACACAACCCAGGCTTCTTCAAAGTCAAGATAGGTCCTGAAATCTTAGCAAATAAGGTGTAACTGATTTTTGATATGTCGTACTGAATTGCTTCAGTGTTAATAGGGCTGGGGGACCATGCACAAGTTAATTTCCCTATAAAAGGCAACATTTCTAACTATTACGTGTGAAGGTTCTACTGTCTTATGTTTAGTCATCCACAGCAATCCTATGCATCTTTACTTATAAATAGAGATGGACATGAGCCATTGAACCTCAGTTTCCTTGCCCTGCCTCTGCTGGCACTGCCTCTGAGTGAACGCCCACCGAACCACAGATCCGCTGTGCAGTCATCAGATGAACCGGCATGAACCACTGAACTGCCAGTTCGTCCCACTCTCTACTTATAAATATAGTTCTATTCTTTTCAGTAGGCTTACCTCCAGTAAATCTGCACATTGTCATAGTCTGAGACTAGACTTTAGAGAGATGCCCAAATTCCAGCACAATGCTGAACTCCTGCAGAGATGTCATGCAAGCGTTTACCTCTAGAAATGTCATTTTCACTTTTCAGTGAGAACAGAGAAAGGCATGTTCATAGGAGGGGACAGGATCAAAATCTCATTCCAGGGTTATAATTCCAAAATTATATCGTCAAAACAAAATCTCTGTAAAGACCTTTATTTTTTTCACATCATGTTATAATAGTAGCAGTGTTACTGACATGGGCCTAGAGCAGCAATGGTGAACCTATGTCACGCATGCCACAGCTGGCATGCAGAGCCCTCTCTATGGGCACGCGAGCCATAAGTCACTGGATCGCTACCCGGCAGCCAAACCTGAGTAGGAGGCTACAACCGGAGTGCTAGCATGCCGACAGGTGGTGGGCCAGGATCTGGAGCAGCTGGTGCTGGTGGCGGCAGGCCGGCAGAGCTATAGGAAGTGGCAGAGTTGGGCATGACTGGAGGCGGATCCAGATTGGGTCTCGAGGCACCTCCATGCCGGGGATTCCTGCTTCCACCACCGGCCGCTGGTTTTTGTTTTTGTTTTTAAGTTTGGGCACTTGGGCTCAAAAAGGTTCCCCATCACTGGCCTAGAGGTTACACTCATCCTATTGTTAATAGGACTTGCCCTTCTTGCCATTGTGAGGTGTCCTCTAAACTTGTTCTTGAAATGGCAAAATGGCAGCTCTTACTTGAGAGTTGAGCCTTTTGCATGTCAGTCAAAAGTTAGTAGAGGGTTTATGGGAGCAGTTTGTTGGGGGAGTTAAGCATCCCAAATAGCTACTTTACTTGAGATTATAACGTTTGTTTGTTTGATTGATTGATTTTTTTTTAGCCATACCATTACCAGTGGTCTCTGAGCGGCATACGACAATATTAAAACTTCAGAAAAACATTAAAACCATTAAAAATGCCCAATATTATAATAATACCTTATATTAAAACAGTTAATTTATCATTAATAAATCCTGCTGCTTATACGGCCAGCTAAAGGATAATATTTAATTAAAATGCTGGCTAAACAGAAAGGTCCTTGCCTGGCGCCAAAAAGCCAAAAGTGTTGGAGCCAGGCGGATCTCTATAGGGAGGGCATTTCAAAGTTAGGGGGCAACAGCCGAGAAGGCCCTATTTCGATATGCCATCCCCCTCACCTCTTTCAGGAATGGCACCTTAAGAAGCGCCTCCTGGCCTGATCTTAGAGGATGGGCAGGCGCGTATGGAAGAAGACGGTCCTTTACGTAGCCAGGTCCTAAGCTTTATATGTCAGAGTAAGCACTTTGAATTGGGCCCGAGCAGCAACTGGCAGCCAGTGTAAATTTTTCAGAACCAGCGTGATATGAGTCAGTGCAGCGGCACCACTTACCAGCCACGCAGCCTGGTTCTGTGCCAGTTGCAGTTGCCAGACAGTCTTCAAAGGATGCCCCACGTATAGCACATTGCAGTAGTCCAGTCTGGTTGTTACCAGTGCATGTGTGACTGTTGCCAGGCTCCATTCATCCAGGTAAGGGTAAAGTTGATATATTCTCTGCAACTGTAAGAAGGCACCCCTGGGCACCGAGTCCACCTGAGGTTCCATGGTCAGACCCGGGTCAAGGAGCACCCCCAAGCTACGGGCTCTGTCCTTTAGGGAGAGTGTGACCCCATCTAGGGCAGGGAAATGGCCCTTTAACCTATCTGGCGGAGCACCTACCAGCAGCACATCGACTTGTCTGGGTTGAGCCTCAGTTTAGCTCTGGGAACAGTCCTTGAAGTGGACAATGGATAGTGTTGACTCTGCAGTAAATGTGACTGTCATGTTCAGTAAATGAGTTTTTTCTCATGGTTAAGGTACTTGTTTTTACCCCTTTTGCATTGTTCCTTTTGTTCTGACCCTTTTTTTGCACACTTCTTCCATGCTTGCCTCCAGGCTTTCCCTGGCAGGTTTCATGCTGCGTCAGGAATGATGAAGGATGAGGTACCTGGAATTGCTGCAAATAATGTCACAATAAGGGGTGGTAGTGAGGAGATGTTGGGTTCAAGATAAGTCATGACGCAGTCACTCAGATAAATCTTGAAGCAGCCCTAATGTTCGCAGAATCACTTAGCATGCAGTGTTGCTTCACAGGGATGCCCTAAACAGGTAGAAGGAAAGAAAAAAAGAAGAAGAGAAATATTATCCAAAGAGCAATTGGAGAGTATTGCTCTACATTTAGCTCATACCAGTACTGTATATACCAGGTCTCTCGATCCTCATTGAAGGACTGCTATTAATACAGTCTTGAGATTTGCACTGAAAATGAATATGTCCTGAAAAATAGACACAATCTGTCCTTGTGCCACTCTTTTAAGTTCCATGGTTATGTGAAGAAAAGATTCCATGGAGTAACTATTCCATTTTAGAGGTTGGGTCTAATGCTGAGTTGCTGAGAATATGGCAAAGGGGCTTTCTTGATCCAGTTAAGAGACTAGGAGCAGGCTAACACTGACATTGCTAGCAAAGGGGAGACAGTGAGCGCTGTGGAGTAGGATCATGTAATTGCATGTGATTGCAACCTGTATCCATACTATTGATCAAAACAGAGAGAGTCCGCTCTTTGGTGCACCCCCCCAGTGTAATGTTTTCCATGCTGGTGAGCTGTGAGGACCAAAATATTAGAGCAGTGTGGGATTTTCTAACCAAATGCCACATCTGATGTTGGAGATTTTGTTTTGTTTGTCTTGAACCCGTCTTGAGTTGGTCTGCTGCATGACTAATCTTGAACTGCTTATAGACCGAAATCCAGCTGCTAGTGTTGTTCTTGCTGAAATACCATGTCCCTCCTCCCAAGGATTGCCCCACTTGGTGTGACATAATAACATTGTGATTATTAGCATTAGTTTTGTGCTATGTGTAACAAGAGAAACTGCTTCTAAATAAGCATTGGTGCCAATTTTCCATAAGATGTGTGTTCCTAGAGGCTGTTGTCTTTGTGCAAAGGTGCTGCTATTGAGCAGTCTCTTAAATGACTTGGTAGTCACTTACTCATAGATGTGTTTCCTTCTGTGGCAGCTTGTCAAATACAGTACTGAGGTCTTGTTTAAACTCTGAAGCTTTTCCTCATTTTTCCATTCATGAATATGTGCTTGTTTCAGGCAAGTCTTATGTAGTGCAAAGGTACTGAAGGGCAGGCATTACAACCAAGGTTCTATGTGTATCTTGTGTGATTATGTAATTGAAAAAAAGAAGGATGTTGGATATAGCATTCAGTATTCTGGTAAATCCTATATTTCATTTTATTAAATGAAATTTCTAGCCCATAAAGCATCACAAATAAGTAACTCATTGTGAAGGATGGCTTGTATGGTTATAGCCAGGATTTCAGTGCTTACTCCCTTGCCCCAAATGACTACCAAAAATTACACGGTAATTATACAATTTTTTTTAATGTGGCAGACTTATTCCATAACAGTACTTTCCACTTGTGTGATAGTGAAACTGGTTGGGTGGGAGCTACTCCAAATGCCTCTATACAGCCCCTGAACTATACAGTTCATTCAAGTGGAAGATCAGAGATGGGTTTTCGGAAAGATGTTGTCAGGATGAGAAATTGAATGTATGCAATCATTCTTAGGACATTGAAGTTCTTTCTGTGTGTGTGTGTGTGTGTGTGTGTGTATGTGTGTGTGTGTATGTCCATGGGTACGTGCACGCGCACACACACACACACACACACACAATACACACACACACACACACACACACACACGTGTGTGTGTGTATCAAAGTGTAGCACACTTTGAGTGAGAAATGTAAAGTTACCACCAGCTCATTTGTCCAGCGTGGAACACAGGCAGCTGGAAACTGGGAGTTTCTCTCAGATATTTTTTGTGTTCCCTGGACAGGCCCCATTGCTGCAGACCTTAGTTCTGAGTTGTGGCCCTACCAGGGATGTTGCCAAATCTTTGTGTCCGAGTCTGAGTCTTTGGTATCAACTCTCAAGCCCCAAGTTCAAGTCCCTGTTAAAAACAAGCATTTTCCCCCCAGAATAAAGGGAGGGATGGGTGAGTTCGGAGTTTTTTAAAAAAAAACAAAAAACACACACACCCAAGTTGAGTCTTACCTCCTGATACTGAACAGAGCCCAGCAGTGATGTATACTAGTGCAACATGTTTGATAGTTTGTCTGGGGGGGGCAAGTGGTGGGATTCTCACACACCTGGCAGGCCACAATACATGTCTTACGGATTATATTGTCCTTGGTGCATCAGAAGCTGTGCAGGCTTGGTGTAATGTTTGGCCTTACGTACCTTTGCACACATGTGAAATTTAGAATGATTATGATTAGGGAAATTGTCTGCTAAAATTTCCAAGGCAGTCCACTCTCTGGACTGTAATTTGCACAAGGAAACGTCAAGAAACCAGCATTTTCATTGTTTTAGTACACAAGCTTCCACTGTATGTTTTCAGATCCTGAAGGATTTGTTCCCTCTGTAGTTTTATGTTGCATTTCAAGCAGTTTTTTGTTTATTACTGTACATCTTGTTTTCCATGTTTTAACATTGAACTGATTTTGCTCCATGTTGTTTGTTTTCTATTTTTGTTTTTGCCTTTGCTATTCCTCTCCTCCCCCTTTTAAAGTCGATTTATGTACCACACGCCTTGGCATTCAAGAGATCATACGCATCAAAGGTAGTGTCTCCATTCTCATTGACTGGTCATGGTTGCATGCATTGTAGTCTCTGTCTCTTTCTCCTGCTTTCATTTATACTAATGTGATTCCTGACAGTGCATGCATGAAGTGGTTAACAAATAAGGAGAACAGATCATCTTCAAGGCACAAATCTATGCGTCTACCTGAAATGCATGCAAAATTTGCTTCAAAGGTCCAGCAGAGAGAAATATTGATCTTTTCCAAAAAAAATTAAAGAATTATGTAGAATATTTTGATAGATAGCTTGGATATTCACACTGCAGTTGCAAGACATAGGGTGTAATTACTAGTTACTTTGTTCTGTGTACTCTCACTACATATTGAGACTCTCAATTCCTCCTTTCTTGGAGGAATTGAGAGTGACTTCATGTCTCACAACAGCCTGTGACAAAGTGGCTGGCCTGAAGTCAGTCAGTCAGTAAAATGAGCGGCAAACTGAACATCAGTTTCTTACTTTACCATATATATCACACAGTAGTCTCAGTCATTGAAATCCACTGATAAATATTTGCTGTCCACTGTATGTGTCACTGTAAAAATATATAAACATACAGTATTTTGGGAATATTAAATGGATTTGCTTTGGAAAACAACAACTGTGCAAATAACTCATTAACAGAACATCCCTTCTTAATAACAATTTGTCCCATCTCAGAAAGCGCATACTGTTTTAAAGATGCTCTTTCCACTCAGGGCACATCTGGATCAGCTTTCAACAGGTTTAATAATAGTTCCCACTCACTCTTAATGATCTGAGAGGTCTAGGAATCCCAACAGAATCCTTGCAAAATTGCAGTCCCCAAGAAACTTGGAGGGGTGCCGTGGGCAATCTTGTTGTGATGCCTTCCAATTCTTCTTGTAGAGTTGCTTTTCGTTTCTGTGTCTTGAATGTGGAGATCCATACACTTATCTAAGTACATGTTTTGCAGTGTGAGAGTCAAGAGTCATTCTAATACCATTTTTTGGTATAGTTTGTCTGCTTCCAAATGTTCTTTGGGCCGGATTTTTTGTTGGCAAAGAGGGACACATTTTACAGGTATTCTAGTGTTATGAAATGCCTGCCTTCTGACAGAAGTGTAGGTCTTGAGGTATAAAAGTCTATCATGAGAAATTGTGCTTTGGTAGAAATTTGGCAAATCTTGAACAGAAGAACAAAACAGGTAATCTTTTGGTTTGCTTTTCTTGTAGCAAAATTGCCATTGTATGTTCTCTGATCAAATACTGACTGGAACCCATTCACAAAGCTGATGTGAAGGATATGGTCATAAAGGAATGCTAAAATTAGTTTCTGCTCCACGAGATGGATCTTTTTAGTTGGAATAAATCCAGTGATAACTGCAAAATTATTCCTTCTTTTCTTCCCTCAAATCTGTTCAAGGTTTCAGTCATGCTAGTGTAACTCAATTGGTTTTTAAAATGGTATGTTAATCATGGGGCATGCTTTTCAATGATTTTGAACTGCTTGTGTTAGTGGAGGGTTGCTCCATGTTGTAAAGAGAGGGCAAGGTATGTTGTCACACCACACAGATACGCATCTATTTTCAACATGGACATGTGAATTCCTGCGCTCCAAAAGCAACGATGCAACATATATCTATCTTGGAGTAAGTTCTCTGCTTTACCCATTCTGGCAAGTTGTTTAAAAGACACTGAAGCATGTTTCCAGAAAGTTGTAAAGTGACTTGTAGCCCATTAGGCTCGTTCACATCGCAAAATTAGAGCCAAGCTGTATGATTAGCAGGTCTGTGCTGATTCATCTGCTGCTGGACTGCACAATTTAAAACTGATGTTAGCTTGATATGATGTTTTTTGTTTCCCCAAATTTCTGGGGAATGTCTGCATGTCAACACAAATGTTGTAGCATAATCTTCTCCTTAGCATTTTAGTGGAAATGTTGACTCTTTTTTTAATATAAGGGAAAATTCAGATAGTTATTTTCCTCATCTGGGGATTTTAGTTCTGCTGCCATTAAATCATATGGTCCTGCAGATTTCTTTTCCTCTCTCTCCTTGTGTTGAGTGGATCAAGTACAGTATGCAGATAAGAGTTGAGTTGCAAGCTGGACCTGTAGCTGCACAAACAGATAGCCTTACCATATGCCATCCTCTGCACAGAAATCCTCAGCCCACTTCATAATGAGATTTGATGATGATTGTATCTCTTGCCAAATCTAGATGAATATGTAATTCTGTCTTTAGCAAAGAAGTTAATGAAATCAGAGGAAATTCCTGTGTTTAGGTCAAGACCCAAAAGGCCTTGAGAAGAATATAACTGTGACTTGAAGCACTATGTAAAATCACTGCTTTGCATCTGATTCACGCCTTTTCCTTCATCTCTTAGTCTTCCACCATGGCCCACCTGCTGCACTGTTAGCACCCAGGTTGATGGACATCTTGCTTGCTTAGCAGGAACCCCAGCAAGTGTAGCACAATGCAGTAGGAAAGATGGATCAATGGGGTCCCATGAAATGGGATGGTGGTTTTTGTAAGAAGCTAAAATTTATTCTCTTTCTTGTCAATATAGAAAGCGTACACAGAGGATGAGCTCAATGCCAAACTGACCAAGCGGGTGCAGAAAGCTGCTCGCCGTCAAGCCAAGCAGGAGGAGCTGAAGAGGCTACATAGGGCCCAGGTACAATCAGAAAAAAACTTCCCTCCCTTCTCCACTTGTGGAAGGAAAAAAGCCATTCTATCCCCATATATCTGTAGTGTGCATTAGAAAGGCATACACGGCTCTAATCAACATTTACTTGGCAAAAGTAGGGTATAATTGTGTTCAGGCTGCTAAGATTGCTACTCTTGTAGAAGGTCTGAACAGAGATCCTATGGGAGGCATAGAAACATGTCTGTTGGCCTTGTAATGATCCTTCAGAGCCCAAGTGCCGAGTGGCAGAAGTGGAACTCGCAGTGTGTATATTGGCACACATGCCAAAAAACAGGTCCCAGCCCTGATGTACTTCCAGACTGGAATTTTGACAGTAGGAGATGGCAAAGTGAAGGGAAAAAGCTGTAGAAACTAGGGCAACAGGAGGAATAAACCCAAATTATGTTGTGCAAATATAGACCTACAATTAGCGGGGTGATGATAGAGCAAAGTGGGATTTCAAGAGGAATTTAAAGTACTTGAAATTTTAGTAGTAGGATGAGAAAATGAGGAAATAGTTCTCATACATAGACTATAAAAACATGCAGAAGGCTTCACTTACAATTGCAGGGGTGTGCTGGGCGATACACTGCACAATGGGCCCCACCAATTCAAAAAGCAATGCCCTGTTTCTTCTTCGTGGTCTCTGTGAATGCGCACTATAGGGTTTAATCTGCACTTGCGCAGAGGTTTCCGGAATATTCTAGGGCTTCATGACACGTTCACCAGGACCACCCCCCTCAGTTGCCTCAGTCCCTTTTTGCCGAGGTTTCTTCCCTCGACGAGCTCTCCGTTTACCTTCATCTTCTCTTCTACTTTTAAAGAATAGATAGGGGGAAATTAGTGAGAGACTTTCGATCTATATCCCTCCTCAACTGTCCCCTTCCTTTCCCTTCCCCTCCCCCCTTTTTTTCACCGTTTTATGGCCCCTACAGGGCTGTTCAAACGGTGCACATCGTGCCCTAACAAGGTCCCTCTCTCAGACGGACACGATTCTTGCCTTTTCTGCTTGGGAGAATCTCATCAACCTGCCTGGTGCCAATTCTATAAAAATCTTACAAAGCAGACTCTTAAATTCAGACAACAACATCTCATGTCCTTTCTCTGGGAACACTTCCTGTGCCAACTATGGAGACTATACAGCCTTCCCAAGCTTGATCTGCTTCACCTGATGTTCCTACAACTATTCTGACACCAAAATCGAAACCTAAGTCTAAATCGATCTCAAAGTCAAAGTCTGCTGCATCAACATCAAAGTCGACGCCAGTACCGAAGCTTCCCTCAGCATCAGAGCACTCTAAGCCCCAAAAAATCAAAGAAACCTTCTACCGAGGTCCAACCTACTAGACAGGTACCCTCTACACATGGAACTGATAAATCTACGCCTTCGATCCCGCTTCAGGATCAATAGACTGTCTGCCTTGACTCTATTTCCATGAATGATGACGACTGTTAGCCACCACCATCAGGCCAACCACCTTCACCTCTCTTATCCCAATCTTCTTCGTGGGCTAACACCTTGACTGAGGTGACAATATTACTGAGATCCGACCACTTGAGCCCAGGTTGCTCTGTCTCCATGTGTCAGTCAGGTTCAGCATCTGTTTTAGCTGATTCCCAGCCTCCACACAAACAATCTCGAAAGGCACACCATACACCAAAGACTGATCCTTTTGATGCCGACCTTCCATAACCTCCGATGTCAACAGGGTTGCTGGCATCACATGATTTGTTGACTCCAGCATCTGTTTTAGCTGATTCCCAGCCTCTGCACAAACGATCTCGAAAGACACACCATACACCAAAGACTGGTCCTTTTGATGCCGACCTTCCACAAACTCCGATGTCAACAGGGTTGCTGGCATCGCATGATTTGTTGACTCAACACCGCCATCCTAAACGTGTCACTCTGTATGAGCTGCCAACATACTGTGAGTATGTATTATGTCAACATATATACCTCCCAAGCGATAACAACATTGCTTGTACCACTATTTGTGCCCTGATAGTGGTCTCTGTATCAAACTGAAACACCCTCGGTACTCATACTACTACCATTCTGACTCTTCGGACTCACAGTCCCCTCCTCGGATTTTGGTTTTTTTCTGGTCTGTAAGTCGATTCTCTGGCTGCAAGTCGAATCTAAATTTTGCAGCCAGAGAAGTCTGTAACTCGAAAAGTCTGTAAGTCAAGGGTCCACTGTATGTATTATGCCAACATATATACCTCCCAAGCGATACCGACATTGCTTTGTACCGCTATTTGCGCCCTGATACTGTCTCTATATCGAACTGAAACACCCTTGGTACTCATATTACTACCATTCTGACTCCTCGGATTCACAGTCCCCTCCTCGATATCATCCATGAACACAGGAGTATGACTAGTCCTCATCTGCGGATGATCCCGCATTCCCTCGTGTGGTACCAAAGCCACAAAAGTCTTCCTGTAAGAGGAAGCATGCCTCTGAATATCATCCAGCGCAGCCACCTACAGTACTGAAACACTCTTGACCATCGGCTTTGACTTTGATACCGACTGCTGAACCTGCCACACGTTCGCATGTTCATGCCTCCTCTCTTCAGGTGACTACAACTTCTACTGGTCCTTCACCCATGCGGCTAGATGCGAATCAAACCCGTCAACTCAAACGCTCTAAACCTCGTCATGGTGCCGCTCATTCTATACCATTAAACAGGATATTGATAAACCAAGAGGCTACACACGTGATACTCCACCTGATGTCTTGGTCTCTCCACCTTTCATCTTGGGCAGCCATCACCACTGACAGTCGGGTCCTCACTATCATCACCATAGGCTATGCAATAAAATTTGCATTCCTACCACCACCAAGGACAATTCTCACCACAGCATCACATGTCCTAAAAAAGGAAATCCAATCCCTCCTTTCGACGAATGGTATATCACCCGTCATCCCATCAGAAAACGACCCTGGGTTCCTTTCCCGGTACTTCACAGTACCAAAAAGAGACATAGGTCTTCATCCCATTTTCATCCTCAGGGACCTCAATTATTACATAATCCACAAACATTTTCACGTGGTGACACTAGAACACATTCTACCCATCCTTCAAGAGAACAATTGGTTTGCTGTCATTGATTTAAGCGATGGCTACTTTCACATCACCATCCGCCAAGACGACCGAAAATTTATCAGATTCTCGGAAATGCTACCTAGGAGTTCAAGGCTACTTTCACATCACCATCCGCCAAGACCACCGAAAATTTATCAGATTCTCTCTTGGAAATGCTACCTAGGAGTTCAGAGTTCTTCCGTTTGGACTTTCCACCACTCCTCGGGTATTTACAAACTGCATGGCCCCCGTAGCAGCCCATCTTCGCACGCAGGGAATTTCCATCTTCCCATACAACAACGACTGGTTGCTCATAGCCCCCTCACGTTCTCAAGCACTGCGCAATATAGACTACACTCTCTCCCTGTTCGAGAATCTGGGCCTAAGGGTCAACAAAGACAAATCTACACTGATTCCTTCACAGAAAGTGACTTACATAGGCACAGTTCTGGACTCATGAAAGGCAAGAGCTTTTCTTCCCCAAGAACATGCAATGAAAATTCATGTTTTTCTCCAGCATTTTTACCCTCATGCGATGGTCACTGCACACCAGACATAGTGACTTCTCGGCCTCATTGCATCCACCACATCAGTCATACAGCATGCTCGCCTAAAAATGCGCTTTCTGCAGGCGTGGTACCTGTCCCTCTTTGACCCCATGACTGACCCACCTACAAAACAACTAAGAGTTACTCCCGAACCTGCAGCCAACTACTGTGGTCAGACACAAAAGTCAATCTCTTCATGGGGAGGCCCTTTGCTTCCCTTCAACTCTCTGTACAGGTTATCATATATGCAAGTCCCAGAGGTTGGAGAGCTTATTGCAATGGCCTTCACATTCACACCGTCTAGTCTTGCTCCGAAAAATGCCTTCATATCAACAACGTAGAGCTCCCAGCCATTTTCAGAGCTTTCTGCGCTTTCGAACCACTTGTTACGGGCACAGCCGTACAAGTAACTACATACAGTACTGCTGCACTTTTTTACACCATTCCCCGAGTTGAACAGTGAGGTATAGCAGGGGAAGAGAGTGGGTGCCTCCCTGCTTGTCCTCTGTGCATTCACATTTCCCACCCATCCTCCCCTCTGTCCATCACGTCTGTTTCATTTTATACAGCGGCGGTCTGTTTGGGAACTGAGGCACTAGCCAGGATGGGCGGACCACATGCACTACGGGGTGGTCCTGGCAAATGCATCATAATGCTGTAGAATATTCTGGAAACCTCTGTGCAAGGGCAGATTAAATCCTATAGTTTGATTTCACAGATGAGCACTCGAAGAACCAGAGTTACAGGTAAGTAACCTCTCTTTTACTTGGAGGCTGATTGGAGATTACAGAGTTACAGGTAAGTAACCTCTCTTTTCCTTGGAGGCTGATTGGAGATTAAAAAAAATCGAAGTACAGTGGTGCCTCGCTTAACGATGTTAATTGGTTAAAAAAACATCGCTATGGGAAAACATCGCTAAGCGAAACACGTTTTCCCATAGAGATGCATTGAAAACCGGTTAATCCATTCCAATGGGAACGGATTACCATCCTTAAGCGAAAATGGCCATAGGAAACATCGCTAAGAGAAACAATATATCCCCCATTGGAATGCATTGAAGCCTATTCAATGCATTCCAATGGTTTTGCGATGTCCATTTTTGCAATTTTATGTGTGTCTTAAAAGGTTCAAAAATAGTTTTAAATGCTTGGGATCATTAGCACACCTTCTAAAACGTGTGCAAACTTAATTTGGCTTTGTTCTGACTCTTCGTTAATTTTTGGTGATTTTTTTTCTCCCCCATTGGAAGGCATTGAACCCAATTTTGACAGCTTTCAAACGGGCCCTTCAGTGCTTTCCAATTGGGGGGGGGGGGGG